AGGCTGGAAACCAGTCTGGAAATGGCCAAAACCCCTCTAAAACCAGCCTGGTCGACCAGCTAAAACCAGCCAACCAGCATAGGCTGGTTTAAGCTGTTTTTTTCAGTAGGGTCCTGAAACAGTTTAGTCTGATCGAGAACTGAACTGAAAAAACAAACAAAAAACAAAGGAAGAAATGTGTTAATCCTAAACAAACTCAACATAAAAGTTATTTAAAACGGATGGTCATTCTCTAATTGTCTGATTGTCAGAATATAAGCCAGAGTCTCCCTCAACTATCTTATAAAGAGTCCTCTCTGCTTCAGTTCTGCACCCTACAACATGCAGTCATTAATTACATTAAGATGGTCCTGGTGTCCTCTATAGTGGACATTTAAAAAAGGATGACATTTTGAAACACAAACAAGTTAACAGCTTTGAAAGCTAAACGTATTGTTCCTGACACTTTAATAAACAAATATATATGCAATAATAATAGTAAAAAAAAAAAACATTTTAAAAGCTACATTACATACCCCTGCTGAAAAAACAGCTTAAACCAGCCTAGGCTGGTTGGCTGGTTTTAGCTGGACAACCAGGCTGATTTTAGAGGGTTTTTTGGCCTTATCTTTGTTTTAGCTGGTCATCTCCCTGCCTGACCAGCTAGGACCAGGCTGGAAACAAGCCTAGAAGTGGCCAAAACCCCTCTAAATCCATCCTGGTTCACCAGCCAACCAGCCTAGGCTGGTTTAAGCTGTTTTCTTCAGTAGGGACCTCTCTCCTTCCCATAAAATGTGCTCGTTTGTGTGCCGGCCATTTTGGATGTGGCAGTGCCAGCCAATCAAATGATATATCACTAGAAACCCAGGATGGTATCTGAACAGTACAACAGGACTTGACAGAGAAGCTCAAAAAAAAAATAAATTCTTTAAAACACTGTCCACTACAGAGGACAGGCGGGGTCTCAGGAGGATACATGACAGTAGTGTTTTTATTAATTCATCTGTGTGCTTTCAGAGTATTTGAGTGTGTCAGGATCTGCTAATCCAGTTTCTGCGTCTGTGGGTGAAGACGTCACTCTTAACTGCTCGGTAAAGTCTCACGTCCCTCCTGAAGAGATTGAACAGGTCTCATGGAGGAAAACAGATAAAAACCTCCAGCTTCTGCTTTTTGAGAAGAACACTGTGAGTCCTGGAGATGAGCGATACAGAGAGCGTGTGGAGTTTTTCTCCTCTGAAATCTCCAAAGGAAACTTCTCTGTCCGACTGAGGAGCATCAGAACTGAAGATGCAGGAGTTTACATGTGTCTCGTCAAGACCGGAAACTTTTCAGCCAGTGCACTTGCAGTACTGGAGAAACTGGGTGAGTCAAGAAAACTACTTTACAAGTGTAAACCGCATAAATCTCACACCACTAATGTGGTATGTGTCTAAACTTAAAGGAATAATTAACCCCCAACCAAAGTGGTTCTAAACCATTGACTTTAAGAGGATATTTTGAAGAATGTAAGTAAGAAAGTAACCATTGACTTCCATGATAGGAAAAACAAAAACCACGAAAGTTCCAACTTTCATAAAAATATCGGGTTCAACAGAAGAAAAAGTCAGGTTTGTAACAAGAATATGGAGAGTAAATGATGGCAGAATTTTCAGTTTTGAGTGAACTATCCCTTTAATTCATCTGATTAGCGATGGTGTTTATAAGATCCACAGAAATGTGTTTAGCATCTTGCATTGGTTGTATTTGTGATGTAGAGACAGGTTGAATAACTAGGTTTGTAGCATGGCTCGCTAAAATACTTGATTCCCATTGGTTCGGAATACTTGATTCTGATTGGCTCTCTAAAATACTTGTTTCTGATTGGTCAGTCATGTCATTCCAAAGTATAGTAGGATATCAAATAATAAAACAAACACATCCTCCGGGTACTTTGAATCACCTTGATCACTATCTGTCACTGCTGTTCTTGACTGTTTTGTATAGGGCTATATTAGTCTTAATAATAATTCAAAATGCGATGTACATATGCGTAGCCAAATTCACATGCGTGAAACCAGATTTGTGTACATAAAATATTTATTAACAAAAACAATTTTTGTGCACAAAATGAAAATACACATTCATGACACAAATGCAAAACCTCATTCACAAATGTGAAGCAGTGTTTGAATATTTAAATTTGTCACACACTAATTTGCATACCAGTGACGTCATCATGTAGTATCTGACAAGTGTTATCCTGTCATGCCTCTACTCTCTGAGGTGCCATGTATTATACTATATTAAAAAATTACATCCAGATGCACAATAAATAGGTTCTTATTAACACATTACTTTGCGTGATGCGTAATCACAACTCAAAACTACATCTTTATGTAGTATTCGAAATAATTAATATATTCTCAAATTGACTGGCCATCTAAAAAATAATTTGAAATGTGTCCATTTAGATTTGTATGAAAAATATTGTTGACTATTTGTAAAAGTAATACAAACACTTTTTGGTAACTTATTTTTTTATTTTTAATATAACTCTGATAATGAACAGTTACATTCTTTTAAACAGTCACAGCTTGTGTACTTACTCTTTTTAACTTGTGAAATTAACACATTTGTGAAAGTGACAACAATTATAGCACTATTGGAATTTATTGCTACCTAAATGACCAACAATTATACATGTTAACAAATATCAGCAAGTTATGAAACAATCTGAGCTAGCAATTTACTCTACTGAGTGAAGCCTGCAGCCACTGCTCTTGAGTCACTTTTTTAAAATTGCTAAAAGTAGCCAAATGAAGGTTAACAATTGCTGAAAGTAGCCAAATGAAGGTTAAAAAATGCTAAAAGTAGCCAAATGAAGGTTAACAAATGCTTAAAGTAGCCAAATGAAGGTTAACAAATGCTTAAAGTAGCCAAATGAAGGTTAAAAATAGCTGAAAGTAGCCAAATGAAGTTTAAAAATGGCTAAAAGAAGCCAAATGAAGGTTAACAATCGCTGAAAGTAGCCAAATGAAGGTTAAAAATGGCCAAATGAAGGTTAAAAATGGCTAAAAGTAGCCAAATGAAGGTTATAAATCGCTAAAAGTAGCCTAATGAAGGTTAAAAATGGCTAAAAGTAGCCAAATGAAGATTTAAAATGGCTAAAAGTAGGCAAATGAAAGTTAACAATCGCTAAAAGTAGCCAAACGAAGGTTATAAATTGCTAAAAGTAGCTAAATGAGGGTTAAAAATGGCTAAAAGTAGCCAAATGAAGGTTAGAATTGCTAAAAGTAGCCATATGAAGGTTAAAAAATGCTAAAAGTAGCCTAATGAAGGTTAAAAATTGCTGAAAGTAGCCAAATGAAGGTTAACAATCGCTGAAAGTAGCCAAATAAAGATTAACAATCACTAAAAGTAGCTAAATGAAGGTTAAAAATGGCTAAAAGTAGCCAAATGAAGGTTAACAATTGCTGAAAGTAGCCAAATGAAGGTTAAAAAATGCTAAAAGTAGCCAAATGAAGGTTAAAAAATGCTAAAAGTAGCCAAATGAAGGTTAACAAATGCTTAAAGTAGCCAAATGAAGGTTAAAATAGCTGAAAGTAGCCAAATGAAGTTTAAAAATGGCTAAAAGAAGCCAAATGAAGGCTAACAATCGCTGAAAGTAGCCAAATGAAGGTTAAAAATGGCCAAAAGTAGCCAAATGAAGGTTAAAAATGTCTAAAAGTAGCCAAATGAAGGTTATAAATCGCTAAAAGTAGCCTAATGAAGGTTAAAAATGGCTAAAAGTAGCCAAATGAAGATTTAAAATGGCTAAAAGTAGGCAAATGAAAGTTAACAATCGCTAAAAGTAGCCAAACGAAGGTTATAAATTGCTAAAAGTAGCTAAATGAGGGTTAAAAATGGCTAAAAGTAGCCAAATGAAGGTTAGAATTGCTAAAAGTAGCCATATGAAGGTTAAAAAATGCTAAAAGTAGCCAAATGAAGGTTAAAAATTGCTGAAAGTAGCCAAATGAAGGTTAACAATCGCTGAAAGTAGCCAAATAAAGATTAACAATCACTAAAAGTAGCTAAATGAAGGTTAAAAATGGCTAAAAGTAGCCAAATGAAGGTTAACAATTGCTGAAAGTAGCCAAATGAAGGTTAAAAAATGCTAAAAGTAGCCAAATGAAGGTTAACAAATGCTTAAAGTAGCCAAATGAAGGTTAAAATAGCTGAAAGTAGCCAAATGAAGTTTAAAAATGGCTAAAAGAAGCCAAATGAAGGCTAACAATCGCTGAAAGTAGCCAAATGAAGGTTAAAAATGGCCAAAAGTAGCCAAATGAAGGTTAAAAATGTCTAAAAGTAGCCAAATGAAGGTTATAAATCACTAAAAGTAGCCTAATGAAGGTTAAAAATGGCTAAAAGTAGCCAAATGAAGATTTAAAATGGCTAAAAGTAGGCAAATGAAAGTTAACAATCGCTAGAAGTAGCCAAACGAAGGTTATAAATTGCTAAAAGTAGCCAAATGAGGGTTAAAAATGGCTAAAAGTAGCCAAATGAAGGTTAGAATTGCTAAAAGTAGCCATATGAAGGTTAAAAAATGCTAAAAGTAGCCAAATGAAGGTTAAAAATTGCTGAAAGTAGCCAAATGAAGGTTAACAATCGCTGAAAGTAGCCAAATAAAGATTAACAATCACTAAAAGTAGCTAAATGAAGGTTAAAAATGGCTAAAAGTAGCCAAATGAAGGTTAACAATCGCTGAAAGTAGCTAAATAAAGGTTAAAAATGGCCAAAAGTAGCCAAATGAAGTTTAAAAATTGCTAAAAGTAGTCATATGAAGGTTAATAAATGCTTAAAGTAGCCAAATGAAGGTTAAAAATGGCTAAAAGTAGCCAAATGAAGGTTAACAATCACTAAAAGTAGCTAAATGAAGGTTAAAAATGGCTAAAAGTAGCCAAATAAGGGTTAACAATCGCTAAAAGTAGCCAATTGAAGGTGAAAAAATGGCTAAAAGTAGCAAAATGAAGGTTATAAATCGCTGAAAGTAGCCAAATGAAGGTTACCAAATGTTTAAAGTAGCCAAACGAATGTTAAAAATCGCTGAAAGTAGTCAAATGAAGGTTAACAATTGCTAAAAGTAGCCAAATGATGGTTGAAAATTGCTAAAAATAGCCAAATACAAAAAAATTGCTAAATTTGTTGCTAAATGCTTTTTGAAAAAAGTTGAGGAGTAAGCAATTTTGTTGCTAGATTTAGTCGGCAACACTAAGCACACTCCTCTCAAACAGGTCATTCATACCCTTTAGCCAATCAGATGCAGGCTTACTGTTTAATCAGTCATAACCCACTGAGATGCTTTAATATATGCACATGTTTTGTGCAAGTCTCTTGTCTTTTCTTTCTGTGTACATGTAATGTTTGTATTTACAGGTTACTCTGTTTTACACACAATTGTGTTGATTTTCTGTATTGCTGCATCGGGATCTGCTCTGACATTGTCAGTTCTGTGGTGTCGAAAAATGAGATCAAACAATGCAAGTATGTCTGTACCAAAAATATTCTTAATTGTTTATTTATTTTTTATTGTTTATATTGTACTTGTTGTTTTATATACACATACAGTGGGTGCGAAAAATATTCAGACTCCCTTAAACTTTTCATTTTTTGTTATATTGCAGCTGTTTGCTAAAATCACTTAAGTTGATTTTTTTTCCTCATTAATGTCCACACAGCGGCTCATATTGACAGAAAAACACAGAATTGTTGATTTTTTTTTTCAGATTTATTAAAAAGAAAAACTGAAATATCACATGCTCCTAAACATTCAGACCCTTTGCTGAAATATAACAGAGTAAAAAATTTAAGGCGGTCTGAATACTTTCCATACCCACTGTGTTCATTCATTCATTAATTTTCTTTTTGGCTTAGTCCCTTTATTAATCTGGGGTCACCACAGCAGAATGAACCGCCAACTTATCCAGCATAGGTTTTTTGCATGCGGATGCCCTTCCAACTGCAATCCATGGGAAACATCCATACACACTCATACACTACGGACAATTTAGTCTACCCAATTCACCTTGTCCGCATGTCTTAGGACTGTGGGGGAAACCGGAGGAAACCCATGTGAACATGGGGAGAACATGCAAACTCCACACAGAAATGAACCAGCTCGAACCTGCGACCTTCTTGCTGTGAGACAATTGCGCCACCACCTCTCCATATATATATATATATATATATACATACATAC